GAGGCCGCTTTGGAAAAACGCATGAATGAAGTAAGATCCTTTACTTTGTTTTTCCCTACGTGGCAGGCACTCTTTGCGTTAATGGCATAGCAACAACACTGACAACAAAGTGGAGCAGAAAAAATTATAGAGCTTTGTAAACGGTAACATTTCCGTTCCATTTCATTGAACTGCTATTTCATTTCAACCGGTCAGTACTACTGAATAAGTAGCACAGGACCTTTTCCTGATCACTAATAGATTGCGTTAATGAGAAGTGACGTCGCACAAATCACCTCATCTATCCTGAAGGTAAATCTTTCCTCTCCTCCATGCCAACTCACTCATGCCCACCCACACCCCCTCTTACATGCACCTGCCATTCATGGGCCTCTCACTTGCTACTTTTGCAGCCTTCAGTTTGTCACCAACACGCATAGGGGAAGAGCACGCAACTTTGCTGTGGTGCGCCCACCACGATGACTGGGCTGCATGGTAGGGGTCACATGAGGTGGTGGGATGGACACGCATACTGCAAAGTGTGTGAGGTCGCCTTGTCACTGCATTGGGTGTGCCGCGTTGTGTTAGTCTGGCGTTTGTTGTAGTTGGACTTCATGATTCCACGAATCGGAAAGGTGATGATGGGAGTGTTGTAATGGTTTGAGGCGAGGGCGCAAGGGAAGGAATGAACTCGTTGTCATGGGAGACAGAAGAGGGTATGTCCTGGATTGTGGTAATAATCCGCGTGCAGCGTTTCTAGTTGGATGGGGGAGAAAAAAAGGGAAGCTATGAAGACTGTGGGATGAAATGTGCTTTTGTTTCAGTATTGAACTTAAAGACGTACAGATTTTGGATGTATAACTATAATATTTTCAAACACTTCTTAACCGCAAATGCTTGCTTTGTCTGCCATTTCCGCTTATTTTGCATCTTCTCTCATGTCGGATGCATAATTTAATGCCGAAGTGCAATTAGTTTAGATGCCATCAGTGGAACGTGAATGTCGGTAGTCTTTCGCAGTCGTTTCACACTCTGATTCAT